TCGTGTCGAACTCGAACTCGAACTCGAATTCGAACAATTCTTAACGAGTCGAGCCGAGCTGAGGTGAGTTCGACTCGACTCGACTCATTTCCAGCCTTAGTTGTCATATGAAATTTGATTCAATCAATTTTGTTGAAATTTTTTTTAAAGTAACAATGTTATATAATTTAATTACCAAATAAAACAAGCTTTCAAAAAAATTACCAAAATAACAAACTTTGAAACTCATCCAGCAAACATTCGCCATATTGGGAATTGGTCAATGCGGTGTCGCCACATGAATTGGCGAATGTGGCTCATTTCTAGGGTTTTCAATTTTTTTTAGTTTTTCTTGTTTTTTTTTATCATATATTTAAAGTTTTAAAAATTTATTTGTTTTTTGATTTTAATATCATTATTATTAGTAACTATAAAATATATTAATTTATAATATAAATAATATTAATATCATTAAAATATTATTATTAGTAACTATAAAATATATTAATTTATAATATAAATATAATTATTATTAGTAACTATAAAATATATTAATTTATTTGTTACTTATTATTTTCTATGTATTAGACTTATTAATATAATGTAAATAATATACTAAAGTTAATATTTTTAGTATTTTCTAAACAAATTATTTAGTGTGTTACAATGACACTATAACATTTAAAATTTAAATAATCATGAAATTCACATCATACTATAACAATTTAAAAACTGAGCATTTAAAAATTTCAATCCACAAAAATGATAGATAAAGTGTGTCTTATAGGTAAAGATGATACATAATTCCATCAATTACAAATTGAAAGAAATATTGTTTATCTTAAGCATTAAAAAAATTTAAGACTCAAATATCCATATTGTAACTTACGAAAAACTTTTAATGAAAAATTAAAATTTGACATCGTTCCAAAGTTTATAATAATCATTGAAAGGTTATATTTATGTTCAACATGATAGTTCATAAAATGTTGAAAGGTGAATCTCATGTTCAACATTCTAATTCATCGTTGAAAGGTGAATAACATGTTCAACATTCGAATTCATGGTTGAAAGGTAAATCTTATGTTCAACAGTTTGGCATTGAAAGATCATGGGTGAAGTTGTTGAATTTTTTTTAGTACTATTAGAGAGCAATTTAACACCAGACTTATTAATTCAATTAGATATACTTTTGATTCTCTAAATAACTCTATCATTTTTGTGGATTGAAATTTATAAATGCTCAATTTTTAAATTGTTAATAGTATGATGTGAATTTCACGATTATTTAAATTTTAAATGTTATAATGTCATTGTAACACACTTGATAATTTGTTTAGAAAATACTAAAAATATTAACTTTAGCATATTATTTACATTATATTAATAAGTCTAATACATAGAAAATAATAAGTAACATCTTTTTCTTTTTTTTTATGAAACACATCCCTTTACTTTAAAAGTACAATATTTTAACAAAAACTAAAAACTGAAGTCTATTAAAATAATTTAAAAATACAATCAAAATAGATAGTCAAAATCATTAGGACAACCTTTTTTATATTTTAACTAAATCTTTGCATAAAATGATTTTTTCCTGACTTTTTGATTACCAACTAAAACCATTATGAGTAATATATTTGGCAAAAAGATCCTCAAATAAATCCGCATAAAATAACCACAGATAAATCACAAATTTTAGTTTTAATAAATTTTTAAATATAAAAATATTAAATTTATGTTATAGTTATTTTAATAATAAATTTAAAATAAAACAAAAATGAAAACTTATAATATTTTTCAAGTACATAATTAATAATTTTATAGTTTAAATAAAATTTTAAAACATTATAAATTTTAAATATTAAAATAACCAAAATTTTAAAATTAAAATTTAATTTAAAATGTTTTAAATTTAAATAAGATAAATTCAATTAAATAGAACAACCAATTACTAAAAACGGTTATAATTATTGATGGAGTTATGGTGCTTCAAGAAAAACTCAAGACCATATTTGGATTCCTTGATTTTTTTCCTTCAAGTTTGACCAAAATTTTGTGCGAAACGGATAATTATTGATGGAGTTATGGTGCTTTAAAGTAGCAAAAAACTCATGTTCATGGGGCTGCGGGTTACTATTCACAAAGTTGAAAAATTTGATTTGGAGAAGAAGGTGTTAACACCGTCGGATGCATTTCCAAGTCAAGGTTTCTTCCATTCATCCAACGCCTCTCACTGCACCACGTAATCGGCCACATAAGCCTCATGCCACTTTTATTTATTCCTGTTATTTTCTTTTATTTTCCTATTGCCATGTTTCTTTTATTTTTTCTGGTTTACATGCTGACTTCAAATAATCATAAAAAATAGGAAAATTAGTCTTTTTGATCCCCATTTTTTTTTGCTCAATTTTTAAGATGTCTAGGATTTAATAAAACTGGAATTATAATTTTACCATTTTTTGACATTTTCTTTGGATTTTTTACATTTGGGTCGTCATAAAAAGGCCAATGCTGGTGCTATCATTTTGTTGAATTTCTTTGACCTATCAAAACACAATTTAAATGTCAATCCTTTTGCAGGGATCTCATACACACGTTGAGGTATTGTGATATATTTTTATGGGAATTTTATTGTACCATTTTAATTGGTTTTTGGATGTTTTCTTTAACATGCTTCACTTTAATCTTTCCTTTGGTATACATGAGATAGCTTGCAATGTTTTCATCTTGTTTGACCATTTATATTTGTATATTTTTGTGGTATCTCTCACCCCTGGTTTGTGGCTTGATGTAGGGCATTGGATATTTTTATTTGAATTTTTTAGCACCTTTTGCTATTTTTCTCATGTTTTGTATTCGAACTTGTAATTTGGACTTCCGAACGGGCTTTATTTTTGTTAAGGCTCCAACGGCCGCTTTGTGTTTGCGTGATGAACGTCGTGGTTTATATTTCTTATTATAGATAGGTTAGAGGTATTGGAAGACACTTAGGTGGCTGTTATTTGTATGTGTAGCTTGCCCGATTATCGACTTGTTTGCATGATAGCACGTTGCGATTCCAAATAGTGGATTACGCGTTTCATTCGGAGTTTTCACTCGATTCTTTGCATATGATCACTTGATATTTTCTTATTCCATCCATGAATGAGCTTGAGGTTGAGATGAACCTTCCTCCCTCCTTTGCATTGCATTTACCATTGCTATATTCATGTTCACTTGTATGCGGTTATTACTTGTATTTCCGTTTCTTCCTTTCGTTTCCTTTCCCGTAGGACTTCCATTCTTCCTTGTTCAAGGGAGGATGTGATAGACATTAGGAGTTAACCCATGCATGATAACATTAGGGTAGATTTTATTCCCTTTTAACCCTAGGATTTGTAGAGTGTCATCTCTTCTTCCTTCAAAACAACAGAAAAACATTAATAAAGGTTATAACAGAGATTAATTCATTTCTTCCGTCAAAAGATTTGAACAGACATCAACCTTTTTGCAATAAGAAAACCCTTGTTTAAGGTGAGATTTTTCATAAAAAAACACTTGAACAGCTTGTGTCGCGCGTAGCCCGAACTACGTTTGCTCTGATCTTCCATGCCGTGTGAAAGTACGTAGGCATAGGATGCGATATCTTAGCGAGCAACCTTCACCCACCTTCCCCCGTAGTTAGGCGAACTACGTTGACTCTGATTTCTCGTTCCAGACGGGAATACGTAGGCATAAAGTGTGATGCTTTGCCAAGTCAAATTTTCTTTTCTTTTCAGACCTCATCCTTTAGTTTAGATAGAAGTGTAATCCGTACAAACCAAGTAAGCGTGGATCCCATCGAGTACGATGGACGTGAGGGGTGCTAATACCTTCCCCTTGCGTAACCGACTCCCGAACCCAGGTTTTGGTTGCGATGACCATACCTTTCCCTTTTTCGCGAGGTTTACTTCGAGCGTTTCCTTTCCCTCCGTTGGGATAAATAACGCACTGTGGCGACTCTTCTGTTCAGCCCAACGACTGGGATGTGATGTGATCAGCACTTTGATGATTTTCAACCCTGGGAGAGTTAGCCACGTTTTCACCATGCGGGGTACCATTGTTCTCCGCACGAGCAACCAAGTTAATAATAATTATTTGTCCAACTAAATTAAAAAAAAATAAACAATCTAACTTACAACTAAGTCAAAGAAAAAAAAATACAAATTAAATTTCGGTCTTCGTATAATTCATCGATGACATTGTGTGATCAGTTTCATTAGTAAGTTGTGGTGAATGAGAAGAAAATTCAATAAATCTTAAAGACTCAATAAATCTTAAATTAATTATTAAAAAAAAATTTATCCTTCGATTCAATTATTATTTATATTATAAATTAATATATTTTATAGTTACTAATAATAATATTTTAATAATATTAATATTATTTATATTATAAGTTAATATGTTTTATAGTTACTAATAATAATGATATTAAAATCAAAAAACAAATAAATTTTTAAAACTTTAAATATATGATAAAAAAAACAACGCTAAAAATTAGCCACATTCGCCCATGTGGCGACAACACATTTACCTTAAAACAACATTTTAACTAATTCGCCCAACAATATGGCGAATTTGTCATTTTGGTAATTTTTTTAAAGCTTGTTTTATTTGATAATTAAATTGTATTACATTGCTACTTTAAAAAAAAATTCAATTTTGTTCGTACTTGAAAACTAAATCAATTTTATTGATTAAAATTGAATTATCAAGTCGGAATGATAAAAAACAAATTTAAATTAAATCTGAATACCCAGAGAAAAATTCTATATAAATAAAAATATTGAATCTGATTGGTTAGTCAACCCTAGTAGCCATACTTTAACCTAACCTATCATTTCGAATCACCCTAACAAGAACCACACCCAATATAAATATAGAAGCCTTTTTATTGTAGTAGTAGCAACGTTATTAACTCTCATCATAAACACAACAATTATTAATTGTTATTATTATATCACTTATTATTCATTATTCATTGACACTGAAAGAAGATGGAAAAGAAGAGCACATTCGACTTGGTTTCCGACGATTCCGATCACCAATTCAACCTTCACAACATCGGCGGAAACTGCTTCCGAAACTCAAAGAGTGCCGTCTACAAACGAATCATGAAAGAGTGGAAAATCCTGGAGAAAAACCTCCCCGATTCCATCCACGTTAAAGCCTACGAACGCCGAATCGATTTACTCCGCGCCGTCATCATCGGCGCCGCCGGTACACCCTACCACGACGGTCTCTTCTTCTTCGACATCGCATTTCCGGAAGATTACCCTCACAGCCCACCGAAGATCCATTACATCTCATTCGGGTACCGACTCAACCCGAATCTCTACCCTAACGGTTTCGTTTGTTTGAGCCTTTTAAACACATGGAGTGGTAAAAAGTGCGAGAGGTGGGACCCATCTACTTCGACTCTGCTTCAGGTTTTAGTTTCTATTCAAGCGCTAGTTCTCAACGAGAAGCCTCTTTATAACGAACCTGCTTACCGTGTTTTGAGTCGTTCACTTTTCGAGTCCAAGTCACGTGCTTACAGCGGCGACGTTTTCGTTCTCACGTGCTACTCCGCCGTTTGCCTCATTCGGAAACCGCCGATGAATTTCGAGGAGTTTGTTAAGGAACATTTTCGTGAGCGAGGGTATGTGCTTCTCGCCGCGTGTAAGGAGTACGCGAATGGGCGCGTGAGGCCTGGATTTTACGGTTACAACAGCAATACGGAAGTTGTTAAAGTTACGGCTTCTTTACAGAAGCTATTACGAAATGCTTATGGGGTTATGTTTAAGAGGTTTCTAGAATGTGGTGCTTCGTTGGAGGGTTTTGTTGCAGAGTTGGAAGTGGAGAAAGAGATAAAAGGAAAGAGATCCAACGGTGGGAAAGGAATCATCATGAAAGCTATGGGGAAGATCAAACAAGCTTTAGGATGGAAGAAGGAACAGAAGGAGAACACTGCATAAATATAATATAACAGTATGCATTATTATAAATTTAATTAACTTTTTTTTTAATATTTTATTTTTAAAAATTCTGATTAATTAATGTAAATGAATTATTTTCTTTAGGTTTTTAATTACAAGTAACAATGGAGTCTCTGGACTGATGTTTCTAGCTTCAATATATATATGAATAAAGTTTTTTTGTTTCTTTTTTTCTGTCATGTGTTTGGTTTTTTCACTCTTCTTTTTTATTAATGGATGTTGTACTAACCTTATTGAGAGTTTTTTCTTTTATAAGCCAACCCTACGTAGACTTTAACTTTTTGTTTTTTTAAAGATTATAGATTCCTAAAAGTTTATCTGTTTTCTATATATAGAGAAAAAAACTTGGACTTTATTATATAAGTAGATAAACATTTCATTTTAGGTTCTTAAATCTGACGCATGATTTTGAAAACGATCACAGTATGGTTATGTAAGATTCACGCTACACATGTGGAGATTTGAATATTGATATTTCAAATGCTTATGGTGAACCCTTCTAGCCTGCTGATTTGAACCAACTTAAATTTAATTTGGAGTAGGGCTGGAAATGAGTCGAGTCGAATCGAACTCACCTCAGCTCGGCTCAACTCGTTAAGAATTGTTCGAATTCGAGTTCGAGTTCGACACGAACTTTTTTTTAAGCTCAAACTCGACTCGTTATAAGTTCACGGACAGTTCGGTTCGACTCGTTAGGTTCATCTCATTAGGTTCAGCTCACATGGTTCACGAACTTAAAAACTATTTTTTTAAATATATATATATATATTTTAGTATATTTGACATTTTAAATAAATATATATTTTTTAAATAAAATATTAAAATGAAATAAAAGTTATCATATTGAAATTTAACTTTATCTTCGAAATCTACTAATTCAAAACCTACACAACTTTCAAGAGATACATTTGAGAGTCTAATTCAAAAACTACTAAATTGAAGATTAAATTTGTCTAAGATTTGAAGTAAATATTTAAACCTAATCTTAAAGACAGTATAATTCTTTTCATATGTAATCGAGTTGACTCATGAACCTAACGAGTCGAACTATGTATAGTTCAAGTTCAGCTCATTTAGTTAACGAACTTAATTTTTCGCTCATACTCAACTCATTTGGTTCATGAACCTAGTTCAACGATTTAATTGTCGAGTCGAATTCCGAACTATCTTCGAGTTGGTTTGGTTCATTGCCAGCCCTAATTTGGAGGATACTACAATAATATGGCATCAATTGGCAATTTTAATTGAGCTGACAATTTAAAAATAATGTTAATGACAATTTCTTTTTTCGTGTTGCATTCCAATTATTTGTATTGGCCATGCTTCTAAGTTGTATATTGGGTTTCGGTCTAGCTTTACCTTAGTCTGAGCTACTTGTATACTTTTTTGTTTATCATGATGTATTTAAATAATTTCCCTATTGTTTGTAGCCTTGAGGCTTCATTTTTTCACCCAAATAACCAAGTTTCTACACTATAATTTCCAATCTACCAAACTTTCTAATATATTATCCAATCTACTTTAGTTTTGTATTTTTTTTTATTTTTTTTTACAAGAGGGCGCCATGGGGGTTGGAGCCTCCCTTATAATTTGTATGGGGCGCCATGGGGTTGGAGCCACCCTACAAATTATAAAGGGGGCGTCATACCCATTGGAGTCTCCCTTAAACGAAATTTAAAAATTATTTTTAATGTTTAATTAGTTTAAAAATATTTAATAAATAATTTTTAATAATTTAAAAAAATTTAAAAATAATAATTTTGTAAATAATAATTTCTGAATAATTTTTAACAATCTATATTTTAATATTTTTAATGTTTCATATTTTTAACAATTTATAAATAAATAATAATTAATATTTTCATTAATAAATTCCAAACAACAAATAAAAATTAAATTGGATTAAATAAATTTAATCACATACAAATGGCTACATTTGAAAGATCTTGTACACTAATTTCTACGACTCGGTCGATTTAAATGTTCGCCCGTACCGCATCCTCGATTACGTACGTTTCTTGGTGGTCTTTGTGGTGGAGTCGGGTCCATTGTGTCGTCATCAAGCATTTGCATCACTTCGGCCCATGAAGAATCCATATCCGTAAAGTCATCCAAATTAAAAGGGTTGCCCATGCCTTCATAATTATTTTGGGGTGGTTGGCTGGATGAGGCAATGTCAGGACGATAACCTGCCTGATCGTAGGGTGAGATGGGTGTAAAGGTTTGGGTGGGTATGGGTTGATTGGGTGTTTGAAACTGGGAGTATGTGTGGTATTATGGTGGATGTTGTTGGTATTCGGATTGTGAATGAGTTTGTGTGAATGGAGTGAATTGGTTAGGAGTATGTTCATATGGTTGTGATTGTGTGAGTGGGGGTTGGAAATAGGGTTGGGTTGGCGGTTGGAAATGGGGTTGGGTTGGCGGTTGGCAATGAGGTTGGGTTGGCGGTTGGAAATAGGGTTGGGTTGGTTGTTGGGGCCTTGATGAAGAATCTTGTTGGCGTGGGTCATTAAGATACCTTGGATGTGAAATGAAACCAATTGATACAGACTTATACCAAGTCATGTATTGTATAGATTGTTTCATCTCGTATGGAAACACATTGTCGGACAAAACATAGTTGTTGCGATGCCTCCATTCACGACACTCGTGTTTTGCATACTTGGTCCACGGATTATATTCCCATTGGTCGAAGACTTTACCGTTGTGATATTTGTCGGGTATGCACTTTGGGGGACATGGAATATCTTGAAGCATTCCAAATTGAAGTTTCACACGATCACTGTTGTGCATTTCGACGGTGGTGAAGTTGATAATGGGCACCTTTGCACTCCACACCGCAGAATCTTGTCGTTCAACTTGATGAAATGCTTCTAGACCAAGATACGGCCGCCAAATGAACTGAAGGATGAAAAAAATAATGTTTAGTATTTTCTAATAATATTCAAGGAGAGTATAACATAAATAGGTAGGTGAGTGAGTTTACATCTTCTTGCGCCAAGTGATCAATAAGATTTCGGTACTGCGTTATACTGAAGTGGGGACAATTGTCATAATTCATTCCAAGCGAAGACCACCTACAAATCGAAAACAATAAAATTTATTAATAATATGATTAATAAATAAAAACACTTTGATAGATAAATGAGAATTGGAAAAAATAATTACCTTTTAGCGAATGGGAATTCAAACTGATTTTGTTGGATAGGTGCTAGATTGGTCATTCTTGACCAACCCCAAGATTGTAGAAGAACACCACATCCGGTTCAATTTCCGGTATTGGCTATTGTGTTATGACATAAAGACCGATATAGGTGCGCTAGTGTAGCGGACGCCCAACTATATGTTTTTATTTTATCTACGTCATTTAATAAAGGTAAGTACATAGAGTGAACGACACTTCCACTTGTATCCGGACATAAAAATAACCCTATTAATAGCATTATATAAATTCGGGTTTTTCTAATTTTTAGAATTTCAGGAGAATCGGGGGTTAATGTCAAGTCTCTATAAATTTTTTTGAGCCATGACATTAAAAGTTTTTGTCCCCTCAAATCTCGTGGGGTTGGTTCAACCCCCCAAGAGTTCTCCTATGAAATTACCGGTAGGATTGGTTTTACCGTTAACCGCCTTACCATGAATGGGTAAACCCAATAACATGTATGTGTCCTCGAGTGTAACTGCACATTCACCTATTGGAAGATGAAATGTGTGCGTCTCGGGTCGCCACCTTTCTTGCAAAGCCAAAATAAACTTAGAATCAATGAGATAATTTGTTATCTTAACGACCTCTCCAAAACCTGGGAGCATTCTTACCATCAACTTTCACAGTATCTACTAGCACTTCAAAAATATGTTCCTAGTACGGTTGTAATATTGGAGTCACTACCAGCATACACTCCTGAAGGAACATGTGTTGCTGGAAGTAGGATATTTTCTCGTCTCTTTTGGGCATTTCAACCATGTATCAAAGGTTTTGCGTTCTACAAACCAGTTATACAAGTCGATGGAACATGGTTGTATGGAAAATACAAAGGAACATTGTTGATGGCGGTAGCACAAGACGGAAATAATAATATATTTCCGATTGCCTTTGCCCTGGTCGAGGGTGAGACAGGCGAAGCTTGGAGTTTCTTCCTCAGAAATCTCAGAACACATGTCGCACCACAACCCAACTTATGTCTGATTTTTGACAGACATGCTTCTATTGTGAGCGCCTACAACAATCCTGCTAATGGTTGGCACAACCCTCCTTCTGTCCATGTCTTCTGCATAAGACACATTGCTCAGAATTTTATGCGGGACATTAAAGACAGAAACCTCCGTAAAAAAGTTGTGAACGCTGCGTATGCCTTAAACCAACCATCGTTCATGTATTACCGAGAAGAAATAAGGTTGTCAAGCGTGGAAGCATTAAGGTGGATGGATAATATTCCAGTCGAGAAATGGACTAGGTCATTTGATGGAGGGTGTAGATGGGGTCACATGACCACAAATCTTGTAGAATCCCTAAACGACGTATTTAAGGGAACTAGGAACCTCCCCATCACAGCGTTGGTGAGGGAAACGTATTACAGATTAGGGTCACTATTTGCAGCAAGAGGCAAAAAATGGAGCGCTGTACTGCAATCAGGGCAAATATTCAGCGAATCAAGCATGAAGTATATGAGGGATGAAACTTCTAAGGCGGCCTCACATCGAGTTAGACCATTTGATCGTCATGATTACAACTTCATTGTTGATGAGACAATGGATCACAACGAGGGTCGGCCAATGGGACACTACAGGGTGGAACTTCATAAAAATTGGTGCGACTGCGGAAAGTTTCAAACCTTCCGCATGCCTTGTTCACATGTCATTGCCGCATGTTCAACTGCTCGTCAGGATCCATTCTTGTAGCTATCAGAAGTTTACAAGGTCGTGAACTTATTCGGTATCTACAGTAGCAGTTTTCCAGTGGTAGCTAGTGAGGACTACTG